CGCGAGTGCAGAGCGCTCACTTCCGGTGCCGGTTAAGTGTTTCCTGGAGACGAGCTGCGGCTGTTTTGAAAAGAACATGAAGCACGACTCTGACTCTGATCTCGACGAAAGAATCGAAACATTGAAGCAGAAGTATGCTCAGAGGCGCAACCAGGTGAATATTATTATTTACTTAGTTAATATTTATTTAAAAATATTTATTGTAATAAATGTATATAATTTAATTTACACAATTACAAACCGTAATTATTTATATTATTTATAAAGAGGTTCAATTATTATTTATGTTAATTATTTTTTAAATTGAATTTATTTAGTTAGTTGATTAAATTTACTTTTTTATTATGTATTTATTTTAACCCTAAGGAACAAAGAAGCGGATTTTAATGTTAGAATAATTATATTATTATGCAGGATAGAATGCGAATAAAATCGCTAGTTTGAAGATAAGAATGATATAATATTGTGGTGACTTTTATTTTGACGCGCGAGTGCAGAGCGCTCACTTCCGGTGCCGGTTAAGTGTTTCCTGGAGACGAGCAAAGAAGCGGATTTTAATGTTAGAATAATGATATTATTATGCAGGATAGAATGCGAATAAAATCGCTAGTTTGAAGATTAGAATGATATAATCTGGTGGTGACTTTTATTTTGACGCGCGAGTGCAGAGCGCTCACTTCCGGTGCCGGTTAAGTGTTTCCTGGAGACGAGCTGCGGCTGTTTTGAAAAGAACATGAAGCACGACTCTGACTCTGATCTCGACGAAAGAATCGAAACATTGAAGCAGAAGTATGCTCAGAGGCGCAACCAGGTGAATATTATTATATTATATTATAGATATAGTGTATGCACTCCTGAAGCTCACAGATATATGTATTTCTCATTGTTACATTTGTTATCAATAGGAATTCGGTATACTTCCCTTTACATTTTCATTCTAGCTCCGATTATTGATCTTCTATTATTATAAGAATTGCAAGCATTCTTTGTATTACAAGTTTTCTGAACTGTTCTGTTTAAATATGCAAATGAGGCATCATCTAATTTGCATACATTACCAGCACATGAACATCAGATAGAGCCAGGTTCAGATTCTGGTTTGGTTTTGTCTCCGCAGGCTCCAGACGCGTCTGCTGATGGACACACGCCAGACCACCGCACGGCTCTCAGAGAGCGCTACAGGACGCGTTCTGACCTGCCACAGAGGTCAGGGGTCAGGGGTCAGGGGTCATCTGCTGTAGTTAAGCTGGCTTGAGAAAGATCTACTATTTAATCATCTTCTTCTAATTCTGAGCCAACATTTGAGCTGCGTCTCCTCCTGCGACCACCAAACTCGGGTCAGAGCTTGAGACGGGTCTGAAGCTAGTAGCTCTGGCTTTTCTAACTGATCTGACTTCCGGTTTTCGTAAACCAGGCTATCAAAACCAGCAGAAATCCCATAGACTTGCATTGAGACGTGTGGTGTTTTTAAGCTTAACAACTCCCCGCTGAACAACGCTGATAAAACCAGCCTAAGAACAACCGAGCTTAAACCAGCTAAGATTAGACAACTACCCTAGGCCGGTTTTAACTGGTTTTTAGCTGGCTTTTTGCCAAATCAGCTGATTTTAAACAATTCGTGTTAGCAATATGCAATAAATCACGTTAAAATCATACTAGAAACTTGCTAGCAACATGCTAGTAACATGCTAATCATGTTAACAACATGGCAATCATGCTAGAAACATGCTAGTAACATGCTAATCATGTTAACAACATGCTAGTAACATGCTAATAATGCTAGAAGCATGCTAGTAACATGTAAAATATGTTAACATGCTAGAAACATGATGTAACATGCTAATCATGCTAGAAGCATGTTAGCAACATGTTAGTAACTTGTTAAACATGTTAACAACATGATTGTAGCATGCTAATCATAATAGAATCATGCTAGAAACATGCTAGTAACTTGCTAATCATGATGGTAACATGCTAACAGCATGCTAGTAACTTGCTAACCATGCTAACAGCATGCTAGTAAAATGTTAATAATGTTAACCATGCTAACAACATGCTAGTATCTTGCTAATAATGTTAACAACGTGCTAGAAACATGTTAACAACATGCTAGTAACTTGCTAATCATGATAACAACGTGCTAGTAAAATGTTAATAATGTTAACAACATGCTAGTA